GCTGAGCTGAGCAATCCCCCCTGGCTCAATCTGCTGCTTGGAGTCTCCTGAGCTGAGAGCGTAGACCCATATCTGCCTGAGGGAGGGTTCCCGATTTTGTCTTTAATGGTCTCTGGGTTTTGAATCATGGAAATTCTTTCTCAGCATCAAAATTAAAGATGAAATCACTCAAGTTTTTTTCTGGTCCTTTATCGTTTTAGATCTTATACTGAGAACCCTAATCCATGTAGTTATTCTTTTGTTGGGTGTGACATATGGATCTAATTTTACCTTTCCCCAAATAGCTACCCACTTGTCCCAGCACCATTTATGACAAAGTCCCTCTTTAGTATGTAACAAAGATGGCATCTCAATTTGCCAGGGTAAAGATGTATTCGGGTCTAACTTTAAATTTTCCAATGTATTTCAATTCGCCTCTTCCTGCACCAACACCACCCATTTTTAATTACAGAAGCTTTTGTTTTTTTAAGCTTTGGAAAGTTTACTTTTCCCTCACAGTTTTTCTTTTCCAGTATTTTCCCTCCTATTCTAGCCTGTTTATTTTTCCCAACAGACTTTGTTATTGACTTGTCTGTTTTCATAAAACAGCTTGTTGGTACTTGTATTGGATTTGCATTGAATTTACAAATTAAGTTAGGGAGAATTGATATCTTTATAATGTTGACACATTCCATCCAAGAACAGAGGATGATTCTCCATTTGTTCTCCTGGGTCATGCAAGAATGTTTAAAGTTCTACTCCTATAAATTTTATGCATCTCATTAAATTTGATCCTAAGGATTTACTTTTTGATTTTATTATAAATAGGGTTTTCTCTCCTCGATGGCCTCTGCTATTGTTTGTATACGTACAACTGAATTTTGTGTTTTAATTTTATGTACTGTGGGCCTCCCCGTTGGTGCAGTGTTTGAGTGCTGGGCTGAGAAGATGCCCACAGCCTCTGCAGCGCCAGTTCGATCCCCGACCGCCAGCGGGGTCCCACATGGTGCGCAGACCTCTTCTGCCTCGCTCGCTGCTCCCCTCAGCAGTGTCCTCTGTCAGTCTGCCTGTTCTGCTCCCCGCTCTGGCTCTGGAGAATTCTCTCACCCTCCCGCGCTTCTGACTGTACCCAGTGCTTGGATAAATAAATAAAAAAGCTTTAAAAAAAAATTTTTTTTTTTATGTACTGCTACTTCACTGAAATCTTTTACTGTTTGAGTTAGTTTTATCATTAATTCTCAGGGGGGTTTCAGGTATAACTTATCATTTGCAAATAGAGACAGTTCAATTTCTTCTTATTCTTAGGTGATCAATTGATTCATTGTGTCTAATTGTATTAGTAATATGTCTGGTACATGTGCAATAGTGGTGGAGATAGTGGCCGTCCGGCCTTATTCCTGATCTTACAGGAAATATTTCCAAAGTGGTGGTTGTTTTGTTTTGTTTTGTTTTGTTTTTGGATAGAAGAACTGAGGTTTAGGGCAGAGGTGTGTGGAGGGTGTGAGAGGATTCACCAGACACAGAATGGGGAGCAGAACAGGCAGACTGACCAAAGTACACTGCTGAGGGGAGCAGCGGGCAAGTTAGGAGAGGTCTGCTGTGCCATATGGGTAGCTCCCTGGCAGAGGATCAAACTCAGGCCACAGTGTCTGGCGATAGCTTGATAGCCCTGAATCTTAACCTCTGCACCACTAGGAAGGCCCTTCCAAAGTTTCTTGATTAAATAAGATGCTGGCTTTATTTTATCATATTGATGAAGTATCTCTCTGTTGCTACTTTATTGGAACATATCATGAATAGGTGTTGAATTTTATTCAAGGCTCCCCCCAATCTATTGAGAAAATCATGTGATTCATTAATATGGAACATATTTATTAAGAATTGAATTTTATTGCCCCAAAGCTATTGACCTTTAACCCCAGTACCCCAGAATGTAACCTTATTTGGAAATAAGGTCTTAATAGAGATGATCAAATTAAAATGAGGTCATTTGGGTAGACCCTAATCCATATGACTGATGCCCTTATAAAGAGGAAAAAATTGGACAGAGATCGACACACACACACACACACTCCACATGTGAAGAAGATGACATAGTTCAGGGTGCGTGAAGGAACCTACAGAAGTCGGGGGACAGCTGGAAGAGAGAAGAGGAGGAGGAGGGGATGACACAAGAGTACAGTCACTCAGTGTTGGTGTGGATCCCAGTTCTGTCATTTCCTAATTATGCAACCCAGGCCATCTCCCTGAGGCTCACCGCGTCACCTCTAAAATGAGGATAATAAGGGACCCTGCATAGGGTGGTGGGGAAAATTAAATGGGAAAAGCCCTTATCTATCAGGCCCCATGGTGGCACCTCTGGATGACTCAGTTTATGAAAACCGAGCAGCAGGGTCCTAGACCAGAGCACCCCTAAAGCCTCACCTCTCCCCCAGATTTGTTGGGCAGCCAGGCTCCCCCTGGCTTGTCTCAAAACCTCTCTCCCTCTGATGCTAGGTGCCCTGGGCAGGTGACTGTCTCTCTGTAGGTCTCTTTCTTCCCCTGTCAGAGAAGATGGGGGCTGCCAGAGACAGGCTCTGAGGTGGGCCCTTCAAGTTCTAGCATTCTGGGATGCTGGGGCTTCTAGCTGGCCTTGTATACATAGCTCTGCTTCTGGGGACCCAGAGCCTTCAAAATATGAAGGGGTCAGGCTACATGAAAATAACATCAGCTAAACCATGCTGAGCATTTACTTGGATCCAGGGCCCACTTTAGGGCTTGACATGGGCCTGTCCACTTATTCCTACAACACGCCTGGGGTATGGGTGCCACTGCACTGAGACTACTGGGGAACAGAGAGGTTGGGCCAAATACCTCAGCTCACAAAGCTAATAAGAGCCCAGGCAGTGAGTCCAGAGCCCATGCATGCACACACGACAACATCCCTCTAGTGGTTTTGTAACAGGGTGGTCCCCAGGAAAGGGGGAGGTTCCCTGCCCCACCCAAGGGAGGGTGGAGCTGAGCAGGAAGAGGAGAAGGTGCAGAGGAGACAGAGGAAGGCAGCAGGATGGAGCCAGGAGACCCGTGAAGAAACTGCGCTTGTCTTGGTCGTGGACTGGGTGACACAGATGTGGGTGAGACCCGTGGGGAGGTGACAATGGCAGCTTTTATCTTGATGTTGATTTTGCTCTTTTCCTTCCGGGCTTGTCTGGTTGTTTCTGACCCTTTTCTGTGGGTCCCCACTGGAAGATGCTTTAGACTTGTGGCAGGCTTTGGGGCCTTGCTCTGGGCCAATCCCATTTGGATGGAGTTTTACCCACAAGGGGACGGGTAACTTTGGGTGCTTCATTTAGAAACTAGATTCTTTGCCTTTCCTGTATTGCTTCCTAGTTTTATTAAAGTTCCTTCCCATTAAAGTCTCCTATGTTTTGTGTTGATGTGGCGGATGGCAGAACCCATTTAGAATAGGGAGGTTTGCGGGGTTTGGGCTGCCCCTCTCCCTGTCCTATAACAGTTTCACGCTCTGAAACACAGGAGGGGGTCTGCACATGCCTTGAACTCCACCATGAGGCAGACATATTTTCTCAGACGTGACCCCAGCTGCACCCCAACACAATACCAGCCCAGAGGCACAGGTGCCAGCACCTTACATGATGGGGCCTCACTGAGCCCCACAACTGGCCTGTAATTGATCATCACACACCTCCATTATACAGACAGGAAGACGACACTCAGAAAGGATAGAGGCACAATGAGGACTGGGCCCAGAGGTTCCCACTTCACCAGGTACTACTGTTTCCCCAGACGGAGCCTCAGCCTCTGCTCTCCAGGAGCCTCCACTAACCGGAAGGGGCAGCACGAGTCTGTGGAAGAGGCAAAGGACAATACTGTGACAATGCTCAGGAAAGAGGGTTGGGTCTAGCTGGTGGAGATGGCATTAAAGCCAAAGGCTGAATTCAGGACTGGTGACCAGGGAAGGTAGAATCTTCCAGAAAAAGGCTGATCAGCATAAATAAGGTCTAGGGTGGGGAGAGGTTAAAGAGAGAGGAGGCCTGAGGCAGTGCTGAGGGCCTGGGGGGGCACCACTGGATGACTGTTAGAGAAGGGGGGCTGCAGCCCAGGGTACAGGCAGCAGAGTGGGGTACAGGTGGGGCCATCAGACAGGGGTTCAGTCTTGGAACCTTGCGGATGGTGGGTCATGGCCGCATATTTGAAAGTCTTCCCTGGCTGGTAGGAAGCTCCTGAGGGACTGGAGCCACATCTGGGAGGCCTGGGACAGAGGCTGTGTGGGGCGGGAAGCTCGATGATTTGAGAGGCTGCGAGGTGGGTGAACTCATGGGCCCAGACTGGGAAGCCTGGAGAGGAGGCTGCGAGGACTTAGGTTCCTCCCCCGACGAGAAGTGATGCAAGTCTCCGGGCAGCAGGGGCCTCTGGTGGACAGGAGGCGATCAAGCCCTGCGCCCCCCTGCGCCCCCAGATTAGTCATTCACACATGCCCCCTTCAATCCCCCACACAAGTCCCGGAGCGGCTCCCGGCTGGCGGGGGAGCTGCCCGGAGCCCGCCGGCCGGTCCCTCCCCATAAGACACTTGCAAACGGATATGGGCAAGATGGGGGTGCAGCTGTGCGCTGCCCCCCTGAATCCTTTCCCTAGACCCCTGCCGTGGCCCTCGCTGTCGTGCCCTGCCGTGACCCAACCTTCGGGGCCGGATCGAGCCGAGCGGGTTCCAGACACCCCCTCCCACTCGGAGCTAGAACCAGCAGCCCAGCTCCCCAGCCTCTCGCCGGGGCCCCCGTGCGCATGCGCGGGACGCACCCCCGCCCAGATGACCACGCCCACTTCGCGCTGGCCACGCCCTCCCCGCTACTGGCCACGCCCCCGTCCCAATGGGCGGCGACCGCGGGGCGGGGCGCGCGGGGCGGAGGCCGGGGGCGGGGCGGGTCGCAGCCGGGGCGCCTGAGTTCCCGCCCCCGCCCCAGACCGGCCGCAGGGGATCCCCGGCCCGAGCCCGGGGCCGACCAGTCCTCAGCACTGGCGTGGGCGCTGCGCGCTGCACCCCCAGCGCGGCGCCACCTGCGGGGCCGGCAGGTAGGAGGCGCTGCGCAGAGCGGGGCGCGCGCCGGGAGGGGTGTGTGCGGGGCGGCGCGCGCATCCCACAGGCCGGGCTGCACGGAGGTGAGCGCTGACCTGGGGCCCGGAGGTGGGAGCGGGGACCTCGAGGAGCCCCCTGGGTGGAGGGGGGGAGCTGTCCCCCCGCGACGAGGGCCCTCTGCCCCTCTCCCCGGGCCTCCCGGGTCAGTCGCGCGGCGGGGATTTAAGCCCCTCCTCTTCCTCACAGCCTGTCCCTTCCCAGCCTTCCACCCATTCAGCTACACCACCCCCCCCCCCCGTACCCCCCACCCCTGTCCAGGCTCTGGAAGCTAAGGAAAGGGATGGCAGGGAGCTGGCCAGGGCCCAATCCCTTCCCGACCCCCCCTCCCGGTTTGATTAGGGGCCTTGTTTCCTGGGTTGCTGGATGCCGATGTGTTGGGGTCCAGGAGCTCTGGGAGAGGGTGAGTCTTGGGTTTCTCTGCCCCTCAGAGTTTGGGGATCTGGGGTTCAGAGGTGAAGTCGGGCAGAAGATCATTAACAGGTGCCATGTTTTCTCCAACCTTATTTTTTTGTCGTGGGCTTCAACCCTAGACCCCATAGGGATGAGGAGCGTGGGCCACAGAGGGATGGCGTGTGCAGCCTTCTCTTCCAAAGACTGAGTTTGAACCTGGGTCAGCTCTCAAGCCAGAATCTTCTTGCACTAGCATTGTTGGGGAGAGAAGTGCTAAGGGAAGCTAAGATTCTAGGGAGGGAGAAATCTAGGCAGACTTCTTGGAAGAGAAGGGTTAGAAGGTAGCCTCAGCCTACCCTAAGAGTGAAGGCTCCAAAATGAAAATGTGCAAAAATGAAAAATGATGTAAGAATTATATAAAATAAAATATTAAAAAAAAAAAAAGAGTGAAGGCTCCTGTGGGACCAACCGTGTTCTGCTGCAAGGATTGAGGATCCCCCTCTCCGGAATTTGAGTCCCTATTCCAGTCCCCAGAGTTCCAGGATGGGGATAGGAGTAGTCCTCCAGAGGGACTGGATGGGTCCAGCTGCTGCTGCTTCAGGTCAGGCCACAGCTAGGTGCTAGGACAAAGGTGCTTGGGTGGGGTCATGGCCCTAAGGAGCCTCTTTTCGGACTGGCGAGGCAGGTGAGTCCACAGATAAGACCCTGGCTAGAGTGGTACCCATGGCTGGGAGCCCAAGGCAGGGAGAGGCCAGTCCCTACCTGGGAGTGATCTCACTGCAGATGTATGGATGGGTCTCAAAGAAAGAAAAGCTCACCAGGCAGGGAAGAAAGGACAGCGCATTGCAGGCCTAGGGAATCGCATAGACAAAGGCCTACGGGTGTGACATTAGATGATAGTCGGTGGGGTGGGGCAGTAAATAGTCCACTGTGCTTCGAGATGTGTCAGTTTGGCTGCTGTTGGTGGGTCACTTTGACGCCAGTGCAGTGAGAAGCCCCTATCTCTCCCCTCTCCTCCCCTCTCCTGAGGCTTTGACTTGACTTGGGAGGAGAGGCTCTGATGGGGTTGTAGGGGTGAACAGGTGGTGCTAAGGGGCTGCGCAGGCCCCAGCAAGGGGAAGGGTAGGAGGGAGATCCCTCTCTGAGACGGGCCACTGGGGATAGAGCAGATCTGGGGGAGTCAGCTAAGTGTTGGTTGAACACAGGGTTGTGAGAGGCCTGTGGGCTTCTCGGGGTGACCCAGACACTGCTCCCAGGTTAGCCCTGTCTCTGGCTGCTTTTTCCTCTGCTTGCCCTTTTGGGCTTTCACATCTGAAGCTCTGAACAGAGGTCCTCATGGAGCCCCAGTGGACACAGGCAACCCTCCCTCCACCACCCCTCTCGCTTGCAAGGTCTATCCTTGTGTCCAGATTCTTACTCTCAGTATGTGATCTCGAAGGGCATAAATAGATGAGCTTTGCTCTAGCCCATCCCTGCCTAGTCTCAGGGATTCAGGAATCTCGGTGATGAAGGTAGAGCGTGTCACTGAAAGTACTTTACTAAGTGTGCGGTGTTTGGTAGCCATTAAAATTCATAGTAACTAATAATCAGCATCACTTAATCCCCCCTCTCTGGGGGAGACAGCCTAGAGGAAGGGGGAGCCAACTTTGGGAGAAGGAACTGGATCTCTCTCTAGGCTTGAGTGGGTGGAGAAACCCTGACTCTCTCAGACCCCTCTCATGGGAGGGCTTACTGTTTGCTTCACCTCATCCCTGGGCCTCACGAAAGCACCCATCCCCTAAACTAAAAGCAGAATGCTCAACAGTGGGCCTTGGGGTCCCCCAGCTGCAGAAGTGGGTCTGCTAGCCCCTCCCCAAGCTGCTCCCCAGCCATCTCAGGGCCTGGGTACAAGTCTGTCTGCAGCTGGGATGCTCACCTTGCCACCTGTCTTTGAATGTTTACGCAGTCACCCTCCTCTGTTCCTTGAGCCCCTCCCAGAGGGCCCCTTCATGCCTCGCTCCTCCCGCTGAAAACTTTCCAAAACTTCCTTGGGTGGTAGTGGTCCCCCCAGGAGTTGCCTTCCAGGCTCCCGTACCTGCAGCTTCTCCTCTGTAGATGGTGGTGCCTGGGATTGCCTCACTATAGCTAAGAGCCATTTCACTTCCCTTGGGCCTCAGGCCGTGCCTTCCCTGCTCACTAAAGGCAAAATGGGTCAAATCCCTTTGGGGTTCTAATCCAGTCCAGGATGCCTTGTGAAGTCAGCCCATAGGCTTGGAAAGGAAACGTGGTGCAATATGAGCATTTGCTTGCTGGGATGGCCTGCGTTTCAGCTCTCTATTCTACTTGCCTGGAGATATGTTTCTTAGGCCCCCAAGATTTCCCAGCTCCTGGCGTGTGGGGTACTGGCGGTTGCAGCTGTGATGGCCTGTGGTGTGGGCTGTAGTTTTCTGCCACATTGGGGCACCTGGTCAGCTGCAGGGGAAAGTGGCTAGAGCAAAGCCCATCTATTGGTACCCGGCTGTCCATCACTGCTGAAGGGTGCCCAGGGGAGAGCCACAGGGTCTGGGGGCAAAAGCTAGAGAGCCTGTTGGTCTGTTCTGCCTGCCCCTGCCAGCCAGACCCCACCCCAGTGCCCACTGCTGCTGTGTGACTTATGCCAGTCAGGGGGTTGGGGAGGGAGCCCAAGTGTTTATTACTAATAATAGTAACTAAGGCAAGGAAGTTTGGGGTGACTTTGTTCACACTGTTGCAACTCAAGGAGTAAGAACTTCATCCTCAGCCAGTCACTGGCCTCCTGAGCAGGAGAGGGGGGTGGGGGTGGGGCTGTCTGCATCACACCCACTCTTCTTCAGGAACAGCGTGCCTGTCCTGTAGCTGCTACCACTCATTACACAAATCCCTTCCCTTACAGTCTGGGAGGTCACACGCCTCAAAGGCGTCTTATCATCCTTGCCATCACGCAGTCTAGGTCCTTCTGGAGGCTCCAGCGGAGAAAGTGTTCCTTGTCTCTCCCAGCGGCTTCTGGCATTCCGTGGCCTCATCACCCAGTTTCTACCTCCATCTTGCTGCCTCCTTCCTTTCGTGGGGTCTAGTCCCCCCTTGAAGCCCTCTCGTAAGGACATTCATAATGACATGCAGGGCCCATCTGGATAAACCAGGATAATCCTCCCTCAGGATCTTTAATCGCATCTGGAAGTCACTTGACCTTACACAGTAGCGTTCCCAGGCTGTAGGGGTTGGGATGTGGATGTCTTTGGGGGCCGTTATTCTGCCTACCTAGGAAACCCGGGCACTGCAGTGTCGCTGCAGGCTCCCTTCGCAGAGAGCTCCCCTTCCAGGTCCCGCAGCGCCTGACTTGCGCCTCGAGTGGGAGCTGTTTCGGGCAGAGCCTGGGTCTGCTGTATGTCTGGCCCCAGAGACCCCAGTAGCCAGAGCTCAGGCATGTTTGGAAGAGAGGAAGGTGCCACATGTCCCCAGGCACTGCCCCAGTTGACCGGACCCCCCTCCTGCACTTGACCGTGTGGTGGGTCTCTCAGAGTGGAACGAAGCTCATTTCAGGGTGCATGGAATAAACCCAGTGACATCTCCGGCACCCTGGGAGGGATGGCCGGGCTAGGAGCCCCATTTTGCAGATGAATACACCAAGGCCAATTGAGGATAAGCACTACCTGGAGCAGGGGTGCTGGAAAGGAGCAAAGGGTGGGGACAGCTTGGCCCAGTAGAGCAGAAAAGACCTTCCATTTACAGGTGAGAAATCTGGGGCACAAAGAAGGGAACTGTTGTGCCGGGCCCCGGCCCCCATCTCTCCATCCGAGGAGGAGGATGTGGACCGGACGTACTAAGGCACTGATTTGTCCTCTGCTGGGCACTGGGAGGAGGAGGCACTGACACTCAGGGCCGCCATGTGCAGGAACATACAGGCGCAGAGCAGGATCTGGAGCCCAGAAGGGCTGCAGATACCCAGAGAACCCCTTCATGCTGTGAAGCTGCCCCCGGGGGTCTCCGTTTCATCCCCAAAGCCATGGGACACCCAGCTGTTTCCCTCTGGGGGGGGGGAAGTTCTACAGTCTGGCCTCCCTGCCGGCTTCCCGGCCTTCTTCCCATGCCAACCTTGCTGTGAATTGCCCAGGAGCCCCTCTTACAACCCGCGTGCTCCCGGCTTCTTAGCCTGGCTTTCTGAGCCCTTGTGGCAAAGTGTGCTCGTCCCTTCTCCTGCCCCTCCCAGCCCCTTCCTTGGGCCTCCACCTTTGTGTGCCTAAATGGTTTCCCCTAGACCGTCCTTCTCTAAGCCTTTCACTTCCATCTTCCCAAGTCCTAGCCCATCCTTGGCAATCCTGCCTAAACACCGTCTCCTCTGGGCAGCCTTTCCTGCCCTCTCTGAGAGTCACTGGCTGCCCTTTCAGAGCTACCCCTCAGCCTGGCCCTGGGGTCTCCATCTCCTCCACCAGGCTGACTCCAGGGCAGAATGCTGTGTGACTCCTCGAGGCCCCCTCAGCCAGGCACAGGGCAGGGGTGGGGGAAGGCTGGATGGGGCGCTCCCAGCAGCCGGTGGGGGTGGCTGTCTTCG